AAATACCAAACTTCTGGGAAATATTTTCCAACAACGGGAAATGCTCTTCTTGGAAAAAATGTTTTTCCTTTTGTTGGAACAACTGTTTGGCATTTCATGGGCTTTGAGGGGTTGGCATTATAATGTTTTTTCCAAATTTGGTAGAACGACGCGTTCCAAAAATTTTTTCGAAAAAGATTGTCTACCATTCATGTATCAAAAATCAAAACAAACGTGTAAACAAATCATAAAAACATCAAAAAAACCTTCTTACCTTAACAATATTTGTCGTTTGCACAGTCCCAGGAGCGCCTAACCACATTCCTTTATGAACACCATCAAAAATTAAATTTCTACATAAAATTCCACATTGTTCTCCAGCCCGTACCTTAAAACAATTTTAAACAAAAATTAAAAAAAACAAACTTGATTAACAGTTTTCTTAAATACTTGAATTTCGCCAGCCGTTACTTTTTGGAAATGTTCAAACCCTCTAATTTCGATATGTTCGCCTTTTTTAAGCTGCCCTCTTTCAACTGTTCCAATCAAAACGGAATCTTTACTGTTTGGAATTTTTATTTTGTTGGCTATTGGCATTAGAAACGAGCCTTCCTGGAAATTAAAAATAATTTATATAAAAAAATCAGGGGGAAAAATGAAGAAACTAGCAAATTTTTGGAAAATTAATTTTGCGGACAATTTTTGCGGACCTATAGGTAAAATTCTAGACTGCTCATTGTCAGTTGAAAATTTGAAATAGATGACCTTTTATTATCCAATTTTTCGAAAAAACGTGATCCTTGAATATATGGAAAAGTCCTCAAAAATAAGTCAGCAAAATTGTTTTTTTTTCTGAAATTAAAAATGTTTAACCTCCGAACGATTTGGCACTTTTAAAGAGTCCAAGGCTTTCAACAATTCGTCAATACAATTGTGATCTTCTCCCTGTAAAGCCTGTAGAGCAGAGCCATAAATTACTTTGGTGGTCTCACCTTTTAAATTTTAATTAAAATTTTGATTAATTTAAATAACCATTAAAAGAGTAATCATTCAAAAGTTCACGTGCTTCCATCTGCAAAATATTTTTAAAAAATTTGTTGAAATTTTTTGAAGATCCTAACCTAGGAAATCGGCATAGCGCTCAAAAATGTTACAAAATAAACACATATAAAAATAGATACATTGAACCTCTACAGACCTACTTGGTTAAAAATCATTTGGGGCATAACTAGGGTTGTTGGTCTTCGCAAATTCCTCGGTTGACCAAAATCAAACCGAAAATCTTCAGCCTTTCGGCTCGGTTTGAAACCGAACAACCCAACCCTTTGCCCACTTCCGATTTTATAAAAAATTTATTTTGTAAAAAAACCTCGACTAATTCCAAATCATCTTTATCAACAAGATCTGCCTTATTAATAAAAACAATAACTTCTTCCAAACCAATTTGTTTAGCTAACATTAAATGCTCTTTTGTTTGAGGCATAACTCCATCTGTTGCAGCTATAACTAAAATTGCAGCGTCCATTTGTGATGTACCCGTTATCATATTTTTACTTAAAAATAAAATAATATTAAATTAATTATCATCTAAAAAAATTTTTTAAAAGCCATAAAACAAAAATAAAAGCAAAAAAAGTCGAAAGAAAAACATTTCCATCAAGGGGACTCGAACCACTCCCATCGCCCCTGAAACCCAGAACGCTAACCATTACGCCAACAACACAACAAAAGAAGTTAAAATAATTAGTCCAATATACCCAAAAATAAAACAAAACTTACATATAATCACTATGGCCAGGACAATCAATATGTGCATAATGCCTTTCTTTAGTTTCTAAAAAGCTTTTTGCTAAATTCAAGAATAAAAATAACCATATTCTAAATTTGCAATGTTAATAGTAATTCCACGAGCACGTTCTTGAGGGGCTCTGTCAATGTCGTCATAACTGGTAAAATTTGAGAAATAAGAAAAAAGGTGAAAGGGAAACCTGATAAATTTTGCCATTTTATTTTTTGAGAGGTCTAAAAAATAAAAGTCAATTATTAAAAAATATTGCAGAAGACCTCAAAGATTGCTTAAAATAAAAGATGGATTTACCGGCCGTGCAAGGAAAAAGTAGAGGACATATGGCAAACAGGCCAGTAAACAGGATTTTTTCGGGAGGGGAGGGGGGGACTTTGAGAATTTTAGAAGGCGTAGGTTACGGGCCTGTAGTCAGGAAGCGGATAAAAAGTTGCCCAGGCTTCCTTGTGTTGATAAACTTTATTTGGGGGTTTTCTAATTTTTCAGACATAACGTCCACAACTTGAAAATGCCCCTAATAATAATATTAAAAATGAAAAGAAAAAGAAACAAACATTTTGTAATTGCAGAAGATAAAGTAGTCTTTCCATGATCAACATGTCCAATTGTTCCAACATTTAAATGAAACTTGGAAGGTTTTTCTTGGGCTGTTGCTAAATTATTTTGTTAAATTTTAACGCAATTTTAAGCAAAATAAACCTTTTATGTTTCTAGCTATTGAATAAAAATACTCTAAAAATTAAATTTTCATTGATTAAAATTAAAAGAAAAAAAACAAACTTGATGAATAATTAAGAGTTCTGGAGAATAAAGTAATTCGTGTCATGTTGCTTATAAATTTGAAGATAAAATAAACAAAACTTCTCGTAATTAAAAAACAAAAATAAAATGTGGCAAATTAAAAAAAAAGAAGAAAATATTTTTAATTTTAGACAAATCGGCATAATGTTAAAGAAAACATACATAATCCCAAAAAGTCAAAAATTCGACAAAAGATCACCCCGGCAAAAATACGACAAAAGAGAATTATGGGTAAAATACGACAAAATATCACAAGGACCAAAATTCGACAAAAGACCACTGAGAGAAAAACAAGACAAAAAATAACTGAGGGTAAAATACGACAAAAGAATATAACGCCCAAAAAAAGACAGCAGTCATGAAAGAATTAAACTTTTCAAAACCAAGATATTAAAAAAATTTTTTTTTAATTTATTCAATTAAATTGTGCCCTAGTTTTTATTTAAAATTAATTTAAATTTAGCATTAATTTAATCATTAAAATTTTCTATATTAAATTATCTCATTTATTTATCTCGAAAAAATTTTTTTTAAATAAATTGCTGTAAAATAAAAATAAATATTTTTTTAAATTTAGAATTTAATGCCAGCTCATCGATATAAATTTTGTTGAAATTTATTAATAAAATTTTATTATTTAATTTTTAAGCAGTGTAGATGTTTATCACTTAAAAATTAAAAAATTGAAGTTAATTAGGGGTGGTTGAAATTTTATTTCGCTGTGATACAAATAAAAATTAAAAGTAAAGTAACGAAAGAAGCGAATCAATTTAATTTTAATTTCTTTCTCCGAACGTTCGGGATCGAGAGTGTCGAAGGTTGTGTGTTCCTGAAGAGAGTATGTCGAAGTTTGGGGTCGGGAGTGCTAGATTAGAAGAAACTATTCGAAATAAAAAAAAACTTTCTACATATTAGACCGGTTCTTTTTGAAGATACGTTAAAAAATTTGAGTAAATAAGGAGTCATTAAAGTGAAAATACTGTAATTTATTCTCCTTTTGTTTTTCCTCAAAAATTCAACTCGCTTTTAGAAAAAAATTTTTTTAAATTTTATCTTATTTAAATTCAAAATTTTTTAATTTTTTAAAATTTTTAAAAAATATTCTAAAGGATCAACGAGCATATTTAAAATTTAATTTTTATTTTTTTTATTTAATTTCTAAAAAATTATTCAAAAAATATAAATTATTAATTCAGTTCAAGCTTTTTTTGATAAATTTAAAATAAAATAAAATCTTAAAAAAATAAAAAAAAATGAATAAATTTTAAAAAATTAAAAATTAAACGACCACTTGGATGAACAGCATATATAAATAAGCGTTTGAACTTTTTAAAAAAATATACATATTTTTCAAAATCATTTTTTGGAGACGCTTGGCTTTAATAAATTTATTTTTTTTTAATTTTTAAAATTTTTATTAAATAAATTTTTTCCTTTAAAATTTTTTTTTAAATTTTATTTAAAAATTTTATTTTTCAAAATTTTCATTTTGATTTTAAAAATTTAGATAATGACTTGTTGAAAAATAATTTTTTAATTTCCTATCAGGCCTAATATTATTTAATAAATTTTATTAAATCTGACATTTATCCTCTATCTACATAATTTTTTTTTGTAATTTAAAGACTTTATTTTCAACATTTTTTATTTCCACTTTTAAAATTTCTCTAATATTTTTAAATTTTATTTTTAACTTAAGGCATTTTAAATTTTGAGAAAATTTTAATCCAAGATTCTTCTAAAAAACAAAATTTCTGAGAGCTTAATATTCCTTCTAAACTCTCTTTTTTTTAAAAATGCTCATTTAAAATTAAAGCTTCATTTCTTAGCCTTTCGAGATTAAATTTTCGATTTAAACAAAAAGTCTTAATAAAACCTAATAGTTTTAAATTCTCAAAAAAATTATCTAAAATTTTAACATTATTTTATTAAAATTATAAAAAAATAAAAATATTTCCCAATTAAAATGATTCATTCATATTTTCATTTTTAATTTTTTTTCTAATTAAAAAAATTTTTTTTCTAATAAAAAAAAATTTTTTCTAATTAAAATTACAGCAAATATAAAAAACTATTAATTAACTAATATTCATTATAAACTCTCTTCATTTAAAAAATATCATTTAAATTCTTCCAAAGTAAATTTAAATTTTAATTATTTTTTATACGAGTGTGTAACAGAGATTTTTCAAAAAAAAATTTTTTTTTGAAATTCTAAATTTCAAAACATCCCTACTATTATCCTAACCTACCCTCAAGTTTAACATACCTAACAGTTTATTAAAGTCAAATCTCGTCAAGTTTGGTATAATTCAAAGCTTCTCGATGAGCGTTGGAGGATATTAGAGATCGGTAAAATCGCATGCTCGGGATCACATACCGTATTTACTCGATTAATTCCCCCGAGGAATTATTTTTTCAACCCATCCGTGGCATGGGGAATTAATTGAGGGTGGGGAATTATTCGAGTTTTGAAATTTGAACGTGTATTAGGGTATTTGGGGGTGGGGAATTATTTTTTCAACTCATCCCTGGCATGGGGAATTAATAGAGGGGAATTAATAAAAAATTAATAGAGGGTGGGGAATTATTCGAGGGTGGGGAATTAATCGAGTAAATACGGTAATGGGATTGAGTTTAAAAAGTTCGAAGAGGACGGAGATTTGCGAGATTAAGTCCATAAATCACAATAATCCCTGTTTATTGTGGAGATCAGAGGATTCTGAGGCGGGATCCCGTAAATCCTGTACGGACTCCAGTTCCTTCCTACCTCTAGATGATACCAAAATTGACGAGATTCGATTTTCTTAAAGAGTATAGCCTTATATGGCTTGTGGTAGGTTAGGAAATAGAGCGCCCTTTTATACTTTAATACTGTAAAACTCGTATTACAATGACGTGCCTTTCTGTTTTTTCTGAAATTTTATTTGTGAATTGGGCAAAAAAGAGAGATTTTGAGGATATTCTGTTAGGGCATCTCATTTTAAATACACGTTTTACTGTAATTTATAAATTTTCTTTTTAACTTTTTCTCCAAACAATCATCTTCAAATCATCAACAATTTTGTGTTTTTATAAAAAGTAAAGTTGGAAAAGATTTAAAATTTATTTTTAAAATTGAAATAAAAAGTGATTAAATAATTTTAAATTTTGGAAGAGTCTTGAAGTAAAAAATATTTTTAAGCAGCTAAAAGAACCACTATTTAGCAAGTATATGCAAAATACATATACTGAATAAAAGATTTCTTTTAAAAAATGAAAATATGTAAGCGGAAAAAGCGAAAAAGCGGTATTACAAAAGATTCGAATTGAACAGATTCAGCACACTCAATTACCTATTTGTAATTCTCACAACTATCCAAAAAACGTGTATTTAAAAAATTTTTTTCCTAGGGCCAATAACTCTAGTAAGGTTGGTGGATCCGGATATCCGAAAACGAAAAAATGCCGGATATCCGAAGATTTCCCAGGATCCGCAACCTTAATTATTAGAGGATTACACATTTCTTTTAAACCTCTGAATTTACTGTTTTTTTTAATTTCTGGCTCATTTTCGATGATACTCAGACATGTGGTTTTTACCGTTTCTAAAAGTTTTGTCGATTCTGTAACTCAATTTTTGTAAATAATTAAAAACTAAGATAAACATGATTTTATATTACGAATGGAGAAAATGTTTGATAAAAAAATTTGTAAAATAAGATCTTTTCTAACTTTTAACAATCCATACAACGGAAAGGCGTAGAGATATGTGTTTAAAAGTAAGTTTTTTTAACAAATCAAAAATGAATTAAAAAGGCAAGACTAAACTAAAAAGTTAATAAAATGAGAAAAAGCTAGATTCTGCTATTCTCAGTTGAAAATGAAAGGATTATGAGAAGAGTTTATTTTTAAAAAGAGGGTTATTTTGTGAGTTATTTTGAACGAGAAAGTTTACTTTTAGAACAAATAAAACCCCCTCCGTCCCACCACCCACCTCGCATTTTTAGATCGAATTGTAGCACAGTCGGTAGTACTACATCTGAATTCATTCTATAATGGTTCCGCGCCATCTCCCATCCAATGAATTTTTGCAACGGATCTCTTTAATGCTTAACCCTAGCCTATGAATGTCTTCCTTTCCTTTCATTAATCAAATTAAAATCTCTTAAATAAATTAACGAAACAATATTTTAAGAGCATGGAAAATTCTGTGATTTTGGTTGGAATTGTAGTTCTGATGATAATGATAAACAACGAAACTGCTGCTGCATATACTAAAAAGAAGATGCTATATTGTAATGTAAGTAAAAACTAATGTTGTACGAGACCGAAATTTTTCGGAGAAACATTGATCGTGACCAGGAGTGGACGCATTGCGTCTTTGAGATTGTCTCTTGCGCCCACCCCTGACCATGACTACATAAAATGACTATTCAGTAGAAATTTTAAAAATAAAAAAACAAAGAAAGTTTTCTTTAAAAATCAGTTGTTCGGTTTAAAACGTGATGGAATATTGGCTTAGATTATTTGTAGACATAAAAGGTCTTTTCAGAAAATTAAGAACTAAAATTCCTTTTTTTAGAGCCGCAAGCAAAAACTTCTGAAATTTTAAAAAAGTCCGAAAAACTGAAATTCAAAATCAGGGCACGTACAACTCTGGTAAAATGAGCTTTTTTGTATCGGTACCAATATTACCGAAAGTTATCGATACCGATGAGTATTAAAGAAAAATTTCGAATCTTTCGTTATTACTAGGGAGTCTAAAAATATGTACGGAAACTCCCAAAATATGCGCATATATCCACCAAAGCGCAAAATATGCACCAAAATATGCGAAATTTATTGAAATATGCACTGGATATGCACTCGAAATAAAATAAATTTACTCAAAAATGTTGTTTCAAGCAATAAAATGTTTAATGAATTAATTTTGGTCATTTTCTAGTTTCTTTTTCTAGTTAATATTTTGTTTCCAAAAATAATTTGAATAAATTTTTGCCGAAAAAATTTTTGAAAAATTTTTGAAGAATTTTTTAGAAAAAA